TGTTTGTCCAAATCCATAATTCTGACTGGATTCATACATATATTGTTCTCTTGCACCTTCACGCGGTCTCAGATATCGACGAGGAGCCCAAGCAACGATCAGAACGTCGGATTTCGGGTTGTGTGCTCTGGTGAAAATTTGGCCCTGTCGTAGCTCATCAAGCTCATCGTAGCAATCTTTAGGTATTCTGTTCGTCATGTGGTCAGCTTATACGTGAGCCCACAGCAAGCACGGTGTTTGGCCAGCAGACCTCCCGGTTCATCCAACTTTTGTGAGAGGAAGTGGTTATTCGACCGTATGTGATGTGCAGCTGCATCTAATAAGGTTACTTAGATTAAATGCATAGAAACTGTACGTTTAAAATTTTAACCTTCTATTATCGTATATACATATGTATATCTAATTTTCATGCATTATCGCAAGCTGACGTAATATCAGTAAAAGTCTTTAGCTAAAAGTTCTACGTCGAGTCGGCACAGGTAATCATGATTCGCAAGGAAACTTCCTGCAGCTCCTACTTCTTCAAACGTATTTGAGCCGGCTGTGGAGTTACTTGGTAAAATGCATGGGTGAGATAGAACAAAAGATTCTACGACCTGAAAGATCTTTTGTATATCTAAAGAGAGTACCTAACCCAGTATGCCCATGATACCGTCGGCTTTCTTCGTGAATCCTAAAAAGGTCTTAGCAAGTTCTTAAATAACAAGTAAAGAAGTATAAGTTCGGGCGAAATCGAACCTTATATACCCGGCGCAGGTATCAAATATCGTAATTTCAACTCTTTAACTACATTTGCATGATAAGCAGGGGGTTTTCCCCTATTTCAAACTTTTTCGATAATATGTTGAATTAGACTTAATGAAATAATTGAACCAAGTTTGGTAGAAATCTATAAAGTGGTTACCGTGATACACCGCGTAGCCATAAAAAGCGAGGTGCCACGCCTTATTCCTAAAAATGTATAGCAGTCTTATTAATTGTTCAGAGATTGTTGTATTTAACTGTAGATTTATAGATTGGCGCTTACACATATGTTATTGTTTGGCCGAGCTTCTCCTCCGACTTGTGGCGTGCGCCTTGATGTTGTCACACTAAGCGGAGGGACCTACAGTTTTACGCCGACTCCGAACGGCGGTTGTATTTTTATGAGAAGTTGTGTTTCATGGCAGTAATACACTCGTAGGTTTGCCATTGCCTGCCGAGGGACGACCGCTGTTAAGAAAAAATCTTTTTCTATATTTTTTGCGATGTTGCTTTGACCAGGGCTTGAACCCAGGTGCTTATAAGTGAAAGTGCGCACTGCTTACCATTACACCACAGCGGCCGACGACTGTTAACTTGGAGTAAATTAGCGTCCTCAGTTACTGACATATCGGAGTTTTCGGATGTCTGAAATTTACCGTTATACAGGAAGTGGGTGTAATTTTAGTCCGATTTGAATAATTTTCAACGAATTTCTTTCTCGTACTAAGTTGATTAAGTAGAAATTGATGAATCGATTACCGAGGTACAAATTTTTGGTCAAAAGTGGGCGGCGCCACGCCCATTGTCCAAAAATGTGTAATAATCTAGTTTTCTGCTAAGTGGTTATTCTAATTAACGATTTTGAGTCAATTAGCTTCAGTAGTTACTGATTTATCGCAGTTTACGTGTTTCTGTAAATTACCGTTATAAGGGAAATGATCGTGGTTATTACCCGATTTCAAAGATTTTCAACAGATTTCTTAGCCAGGCCCTAGGCAATACTCATACCAAGTTTGGTACGGATTCATGAAGCGGGCTACTGAGATACAACATTTCATCATAAATGGGGCGAAACCAATGAAAGTGATGGCGCGTTCTTTTCAATATCCCAGTAAACACTTAGTGTGCTTTTTTATTCCATTCCATTCTTTGTACGCATGTCGTTGAAGTGTTCTGCATATTTATGAAGGTGCCTTTTTTCCCAAACCTATGTATTTGCCTGTCGGTTGTGCTTGCCGCGTTTGAAGGTATGTATATCTACGCACATACATTAATGTGTATGTATGTATGTTTAATTCAAATTGATTTGCCTGCTCACATTGTGGACTGGAGGTACATGGGGAGTGGGTATGATTTTTGAAACCGATATGCTTCATTTTGGTCTATGCAAATTTTTGGGATTCTGTCGGCGAAAAAGCTATTTATGATAAGTTTCACTTTGAGAGCATCACCATGCATAGTCATAATTTAACATCAAAATTAATTTCAATATTCATTCATGGTCAAATGAATAATAACTGACAAGCTATTAAGCGGAAAATATTTAGAAAGAAAGCGCTTTTGAATTTTATGAAATTTTAAAAAATCTTCAATAAAAATGCATGCCTTAAATTGTAATCCTTGATAAAGATTTGCCTTAGAATGTTTAAGAATTCTTTAGCATTTACTTACGCAAGATTTTCTTGGTGCATCAATAATGGAATAAATCAAATTTGTATTGGTGTATTTCGGTTTATTTATTTTTTATCTGTTTTTAAAGTTTCCTTTGAGCAAAAATGCATTTAATATTTACTTACATCTCACGTTTTCTCTTTTCTTGTTGGGTTTTTAATATTACGCTTTAATGATTTTTAACTGTTAAAGAAAAACAGCTCACAATGTTTACAAGTTGAAAGCACACACAAATTCATACTTACATATGTACATATGTATGTATGTATGTTTGTATATGTGCATGGAATACTTACAAATATATAAACATTGACTTTTGCCATTTATGTAATGATTATGCTGTAGTATTTAGTGCAGCAGATTTTATTGGTTTTCTTGCTGCTTCTTTGGAAACTTTTTTGTATTTTTTTCTTTGTTAGCAAACATTTATTTCATTTTTAATTTGGCTCATTTATATGTACTTTCTTTTAAGCGCAAACACATGTATACAGTTTAAAATTATAAATATTTTTATTTTTTATTTTTATTTTTATAGTCCTTATTATTAACTAAGAATTTTAAAGTTTTATAACTAAACGGCTCGCAATTTAGAAATTTTATTAGTTATAATAGTTTTTCTTTAATTTTTCAATAGAAATAACATTTATTTAAAATAATTGTTTTCTTATTTACAATTAAATATATTTCAAATATATTTTACAATTAATTAATGCTTATCTAATGATAAATCTTTGTTTTTTCTTCTACCTTTTTATTTTTAGTTTTTGGGTATTTTTTGTGTATGTATGTGTACACAGAAGACCGAATTGTGCTAGTTTTAGCTGACAAAAGAATTCAAACAACAATTTTTCATAAAAAAAAGTTAATATTTTTTTAATTGACGCAGTGAAAACAATTGGGTCTACCAATGTAGAAAAGTGGCAAATCTTCAGAGTGGAATTAGAAAGGTGGCAATTATTAATAACTGAACAAAAAATCGCAAGAAAAGTAAAAAAAAACATTGAAAATTACAAATAGCTAAAAAATTTAAATTTTAAAATATTAAAAACAAAAATACTTTGCAAGACATTTATAAATGTGATCGACACAAAAAAGGAATAAAAAAATAAAATTAAAATAAAAAATTTTAATTCGAAAAATGTTTTCTGGACTTGCTTTTATAAGAAACGTATAAACTGAAAAAGTTTAAATTTAATATTTTTAGAACACAAAAATATACTAAATCAAGGATTAGAATTAAAGAATCATTAATGATGTAAATTTTAAATATAAAAGCAAAGAATTAAGCCCAATTGCAAATTTATAATTATGTATAAACTGATAAAAGTAGAAAATTAAAAATTTTTTGGTATATAAAAAGTGGCAAAATCAAAGAATATTTTTAAAGAATGATTCAAGTATTTAAACTGTTAAATATAAAAATGAAAATTTAGGTACAAAGTGTAAAAGAACATGAAAAAATATAGATATGTCTGAATCCGGGGTGAAATATTGGGCAGATAACTTTATAATAAAGAAGCTGAAAAAAGATTTAATAAGAATTAAAAAGTTAAACCGCTCTTTTAACAAAAATTTTAAATACAAGCTCTTTTCAAAAGACTGACAAAATAATAAAATTTAAAATATTTTAGGACATTCAAAGAAATTTTTTTTTAAGAAATTAACAGCTTAAAAATGAAAGATTCGTTCCAAAATAACGATTGATGATTCATCTTAAACTTCAAAATTAAAAGAAAATTTTTAAAAACTGTATGAAATGTTAAAAAACATAATAAAGCATTCAAACATACATATGTATGTATAGAACTTACACGCATATATAAGTGAAAACTTTTCACAAAATAACTTTTACAATGTCAAAAACTGCATACAAAAATCTATCTTATATTTGTATGTTTGTATTTGGTATAGTTAAAAAAAAAAAAATAAACTCAGAAAATTTTGCAATCCCAAAACAAAAATATATATTTTTTTTTTATTCTTCACGGAACACGGTTGTATATGGTTCCAGGTTTTAAAATTTCTCTCAACAATTTTGAGTGGTTTTTCACGATTTTGAACCTAAAAAAAAATTTAAATAAAATAACATATAAATCTCCTCAAACCGTAAAAAATTTTTTACTCACTCCACTTTCTTCACCCATTTGCCTTGATTCTTTTTCACTAATAGTGCCATTTTCATGTACATACATATTCGCAAAACTACAAATATCTACAAATGTATGTAAATATGTGTTTGTGTAGGTATATACTTAGTTAACGCGTCCTTGGAAAATTCTGAGGAGTGAGTTCTGTTCCATTTAAAAATAAGTAGCTTTCAGCAGCTTGGAATGCATAAAAGTGCGCAGTGTAAATTAATTAAGGTTGCTGCTGCTGGCTCTTCAGTTTGATAAAAAATAAATCAGTCTAAATATTTAATATCCCCCTCAATGACTCTAAACTAACCCCCGTAATTTGAAATTCTTAGTACAGCGCATCCCTGTCATCGTCATCGTCATCGTCATCGTCCCCTTCTTCTTCTTTCTCTTACATTTCCTCTTCTTTCTTATCAGCATCATCTTCGCTTAGCACTGCTTATTATCATTGGCGTTGCATGCAACAGCATCACTTCACTATTAAATATGTAAGTAGTAAGTCATTTGCCAAGTCGCTGCCAACCGGCATAGTCCTGCCACATCGTATTCGCCTTTCTATCATATTTCACTTAAAATTACACACTTATTGTAATTCATGTAAATTTAACTAACAAATGTATGTCTGCCTGGATGTGTGTGTGTGTGTGTGTGTGTATGTCAGCTGGCAGATGTTGCAATTGTGCTTACACCGTTGCCACGTTTTGTTTTCTTTGCTTCTCCGTACTCTTCCTTACTGAGGGCTACTTCGGCGCCAGCCATCCATTAAACTTTTAATATCACTAGTGTCCTTGTTTACTCGCTTATGCTTAATTATACTCTTTATAATGTCCTTCATTACCCACTTTGTTGTTAAACGACCATCAACGGTCATTTTTGCTGCCCTTCTGTTCCCCTCCGCTGCACAACGTGCCGGCACATTCGAGCGCTGTGTCAGACTCTGCTAGTTACATAGTTGTCATTCATTGCCATTATATTTCTTTGCGTGCCATGCCATTTTGTGAGTCCATGTGTTCGTGTGTATGTGACTGTGTGTGTGTGTGTGTGTGTGTATACGCGCGCGTGTTGAACGTTTATGTTCCACCTCATTGCCCCAGTGTCATTCGCCTTGTTGTAATTGGTGGTAGCAGTTTTAAAATTGTGGCTCTATGAGCCTCAACAATAAACTTAGTTTTTGCGCGGTAGTGATAGCTACAAAGTTATTGTAGTGTCCATAGTCGTGCAAAGAGTGAGATCCTCGTTTAGTATTTTGTCGCCGCATTAACATCCGCTTCCGCTTCCGCTTCTACGCCAGTTTTCGTTTCCACACCTGTTGTCTCAGCCGTCATCGTCATCTTTACCTTCATAGTAGTCCCCTTTGCAGCCATTGCCGCCTCATTTCACGCAAACTTCCCATTCGCCACAAATTTCCAACGTTGTGACTCCAGCGCTGAGTTGCAGCGTTGGGCGGTAATGCCATGCTCGTGGTGATCACGTGAGTCGAGGCATACGTTGAGTTTATTGTGCCGCAGGAAACCGCCTTCACGCATTGTCCAGCGCTGATTTTCGGAACTGTCGCACTCCTTCATCACCACTTCAGAGCCCCGCGCGAATTGAACCAGCGTCAGACAGAGGTCATCATGTTTGATTTGGCCTTGTTTGGTGTAGGCCCACTCTTGATTGCCGCCAGTGTTGTGGCATTGGAAGAGTCCTGCGAGTCCGTGCGATGTTGGAAAATGCAACGAGAAAGAAAATGTGAAATGAAAACTATATATTTTAATGCTATTGAAGTTTTAATCCTATTTGCATGTAACTCTATTTTCTTTGCGTTGTTTCACTTCAACTAACTAATGAAGCAGAATGGATATGGGATGTAGTGAATGGGAAAAATTAGGTTGCGCGCTCATACATATTTATTGTACCAGAGTATTCGATGCTGCTTCGAACATCAGTTCAATGAAATGGAATTAATTGATTCGGCGCTGCGGAAAGTAAAAGCGATAATAAGATTGCCAGGTGTACGCGAGTTCTTAATGCAAAGCAGAAATTTTAAATTGAAATTGGTATAAAGTTTCGATTAACGGGAATAAAAATAATCGTCGTTTTAGATTTTAAAAGAAGTAGGGCTTATGCATCGGAAACTATGTAAAATGTACGAGTTGACAGGCTATTAGGGAAGTATTTAAAAAGGCCGTGCCTTAGAAAGGGGGTTAGTAGGTATTTCTATAAATCCATGTGCAAGAAAACAAGAAATCGATTAGAACACCACATTGTACCTATACAGATAACAAAGAGGAGAGAGTTCTGCGCTCTGCTTTCTGTCCACTTTCCGGATGCTACTCCCACTAAGTGTTCTAAGAATTAGACCTTATCAATTAGACTATAAGTTGGAAAAATGTACAGTCTACTAACCACAGGTGCCAAGAATACGCGAACGCTATATTTAGTAATAATTACCACAACCAAGGAGTACGCTTGCGAAATAACACAAAGCGGTGCAAGTTTAGTGAAAGAGTTATTCTTAATATCAACCCCTCTAAGGCGCCATCGTCCTCCATACAGAATAAACCCCCTTCTAGGTATTAGGACAACAACTATGAATGATATTTCCGCCGAGAGAAAGTACCTTATTCTAATTCTAGACTGCAAACTTCTGTGGACCATATCAAAATCTATTAAGGCACTAAAGTTATGCAACCATGTACCCTCTCTCTCTTGTCAAAGGCAAGGTCCTAAAAACTAGGGTCATGGAAAGGCAAAGACGTCAGCATCCACTATAAGAAATTAAAAATAAAGTCGAGCAGCACAATAACCCGGAGTAACTCCGTTATGGAGGGACATGTCCAGGCCAGTACTCTTAAGTGCTACATAGACGGCTCGTTAATACCAGAAAGCGTTGAAACTTTTATCTAGGGATCTAGGTGTGCCTATGGGGAAATTAAATAGGCATTTTCAAGCGGAAAATCACGTCACTAGTCGTTGGGCAAATATTAATTTACGTAGAAACTACCGTAAGGAGAGAATCCTAATACTTAGCGACAGTCAAGCGGCACACAAGACAATCGTGGCACTTAGGGCTTTATTTAAATAAACTTTAGTCCTTGAGTGCATGGAGAAACTTAACGTCATTGCTTAAAACAATGGCAATCAGCTACCCTGGGTACCATGTTACAAGGAAGTAAAGGGAACGAGGAAATATTAGCCAAGAAAAGTTCAGCCGCAAATGCTACAGGGCTTGGCTCATTAAATGATTATCACGGGCATCCTTACTAGAAATCCACCCAATTACAATATGCATTGAACGATGCCTGCCGAAAGATTACCACGATGCATATTCGGCTTCGTCACGAGAGTGTGTTAGTGTACATAGTAGTAGTGTACAGCTGATGCGCTCTAATCATTGCGCTCTCTTTGTTGGGGTTTCAGATATCACCTGTATATACTGAAAAGCTATGCTAAGCTGGAGGTTCTTCGCTTCTCTTGTTTTCAGAATTCCATGATTTAATGGAAAAGAGAAGACCGTTTCACAGAAAGTCAAATATATGTATATATCACATATAACAGAGAGCCTAGCCAAAAAGAGTAACATGCGACGAAATGTTGGGCCTTTGGTATAAAAAGTGGATCTCATTCAAGAAGGCCATGCAGTTAATAATTCAACACATAATACTATAAAGTCTCACCGTAAAATTTTTGGCATGTGGCAGAATGGTAAACGTACGAGAAACCCCCCCGCAAAAAACCCGATTACTACAGAAATTAAAATGGAATCGAATTCGGCGATGAGAATCGCTTACCCTTTCGCTTGAAGAAGGCATCATATTAACATGGGAATGTCATTGGCCGTAAGCCATTACCCGAGCATTCGAACGAAGGGAGAACGCATGGATAAACAGAATCCAGAGCAGCGAACAAAGAATGCCTTACAGAGAAATTAATGTAGAATGACTAGATAATAAGTACATACATAAATACTTATGTACATATATTAAATTAAAAAAAGAAAATACAGATTGTCTTAAGAGATTAAAATTAATAAAAACTTTTTTAAATCAGTTTCTAGATCTTACTTAAAAATCGGTATGCATATACATACATATTTAATTACACTTAAAATTGTACTTTCTCACTCATGTACTTCACTTCATTGACTGACTTAAATTTCGCAAGCAAAACATGATTTTTTCGATGGAATTTCCGCAGAAAGTAACGGTAGAAAAGAATTTTTGGGTGTTCATTCTATTTTTCAGCTGACTACGGTGAAGTATTCTACTTTGCATTCCCCGTGATGAATCAAAGAATCTAAATTAATAAAATATTGTGGAACATTCTACTATGCATTACCGGCAATGCCTACAAGAAGCCCAAAAATTAGAAGACATTATAAGGCAATGCGTTCTAGAACACGTTACCACTAAAAGCGATTACCGATTTCTTGCTGAGACACATCTATAGCCACCTCTTCCACAGAGCACTCAATGTGGCAGACATCGCCAGAGCTTTTAATTAGCTTAAAATGACGAACAAATAATAAAGCTTGAAACACATTGGAAACGACGGGCTACGGACCACAGATGTCAAATTATTTTAACGCGTACTCTTATGTAGATAATTATTTTGGCGACGAAACGGCAACACTGCGACTAGCCAAAAATGTAGCTGTGGCCAGATTGAATCTATTTATATTTTTCTAGTGACAGATAAGATTCTTCCTCTACTTTTATGTCAAACTCAATCAAATTCATGTGTCGCTGCCGCGTTCAAAAAATTCATGTCGCCGTCGACAAGGTGTTTAGATTATTTATGTAGATAAAGCCTTAAGCTGATGCCAGATAAAACTTTGTAGCTTTGCGTGACATTTATAACTTTGCCAGCAAAGCGCCAGACGCAAAAGGTATGCCACAATGAACGCCAAGAAAACAATGTTGTACCGCTTTTTTACTCATCAAAGTTGCTGTGGATTTTAATTATTTTGATTTAAAATTATCAGCAATGTAATTAAGTTTTATGTTTCTGCATGAAAACCCGAATTTGGACGAAACAAAATAAATATTAAACCGGCTGATTGTCAAAGCGCGCAAAAAGATGGGAGTTGACCATCTTTTCGCTTCGCGCTGCCGCTTCAACGATTTATGTGGCATGCTTTGTGCATTTTCATACAATTCATCTTATCTGTCAAAGCGAATCTGTCACGTAAAGCGAAGCAAGCGTTTTATCTGGCATCAGCTTTAATGTCGTGTCGTGCGGTGATGTCGTTTTCGATGTGTTCAGAGCTTAAGACTTCATTTGGAAGAGAATATTGTAGGTATAGAGCTTGTCACTGACAGATCATAAATATCAATAGAAGGTACCTTTATTGCGACCTCAATCTTCGAAAATGAGGAAAAAGAACTTAATATATTTTTTAAGCGATATTTTCGCTATATATTCGAAGTTGTAAGAATAACTAAATGAGGGCAGCACGCGAACATGCGAGAGATGATGGGAAAGAGAAATAATACATTCGGAACTACGTAAATAGAGGATGTTCGAAGAATGCACTTTAGGGTGAAATGCCTACTCTTAAAGTAAGCTGGTTCATAGGGAATTCGTGCCTAATACTTTGCTGAAAAACATCGAGTTTTATTTTTCATTTAAAACTTAAAAGTTATTTGGTGAGATTTATTTTTCCATTAATTAAAATTAAATAGCTTTAATTTTTTTAATAAAAAATTAAACTCACCAAGTAATTTTTATTTCTTGAACAAAAAAATAATCAGATTACAATTGTTATCTGAACGAAAAATAAAACTCAGCAAATAACAGTTATTTTGTGAACATAAAATAAATATGTAGTTAAATAAAGGTTTATAGCTTATCCGCGTAAATCTTTGAACAACGGTCAATTTTATATAACACATCCTATGTTCTGGACACTTCCTTAACAATGATATTTTGGATACAATTTTAAATCAATAACAATTATTTTCGGTCTCTGCTGAAATGACAATGAAAAATATTTTGCATAACGTGTCTATCAGAAGAGGTGAGACATTTTTACATTAACTGTTTATTTTAGTTAAACAATTCTTAAATTCGAATACACATAATAAAAAAAAAATGCGATTACCATTTTACCAAAGAAATTGCATAGGGATGTGGGACATATTAAAAGGTACCTTAACAATAATATTAATTAATATTATTAGTTCAAGCACGAGTGATTACTTACCCACTGTGCCATCGACCAAGTTGCCCATGGTGTCCAAGCAGTCCGTTGCTCCTTGTTTAAATTGGCCAAATTCGAACGACTCCGGCACTTGTAAGTCCGGATAGACATTTTCCAAGTACCATTTAAATGGCTTACAATGCAATTTCTCTTTCACCGCTAACCGGTCGTCAATGCTGCATACACACAGGAGCGAGCACAAGAGTAAGCCCAGCGGAGTAACAGCATCACCATCAGCAGTAACAACAGCACCAGCAGCAAAAGATAAAACGCAAACATGGCGAACATAAATAGAAATGCAAATAAATGCACACAGATGAGTAAACTCGGCAGTCGATGCTGCAGTGAGTTTATTATTTACTATGCTCCCCTCTAACCCTATTCTACCCGCCCGCTTAAACTTACCTGCCATATGCGATATTCTTGGCCAGCGGCACTGCAGCATAATAGTACTGCTTGTAATCGTCCATCCAGACTTCAGCTGCACGTCTTGTATTTCGTGCAAACACATTGCCACTACCACCGGGAAATGTGTACGGATGTCGTTTCCGGAAAACGTGCCCCACCCGGCTGCATGGTATAATCTCGAGGCTGCCGCCACACTGCCACACACGGAAAGAGATCTCCAGATTTTCACCGCCCCACACATCCATTTTCATGTCGTACTTGCCGAGCTTATTAAAGTACGCTTTGTCGATGACGAAGAGGCCGCCCGCAATCATGGGCGTACGTATGGCAGTGGTGGGGTCATTTTGTCTTGCGGCACGGTCCGCAGCACTCAAGTATTCCCACTTGAAAATCAGGTTCCAGTCGAAGCCGCCACGTAAGTCGGCCGATGCGCCAATGTATTGGAAGTTGTCCATGCTAATGACATCGATGACTGGGCAAACCACACGTGTCGGATCCTCACGTACACGCTCCAACAGCGGTTCCAGCCACTTTTCATTGCACTCCACGTGACTGTCGAGGAAGGTGAGCACACCAGCAACTGCAGCATCGGCGCCACGTACACGCGAACGCACCAGCCCTTCACGCTTTTTGTTGCGCAGCACACGCACCTTGTCGATTTTGGCTAACTCCAGCCCGTCCTCAGCTGTGAAAATGAAAAATTTGAATGTGTAAATAGTGTAGGGTCTATGTTAATGAGCATGGGAGTACGAGTAGTGAAGCTTTGGTGAATATGGAAAGGGCAATTGTGATTTGTTGTTCATTAAATATTGGTTGATACTTACGGTGGTCGCTAAAGTCATCGACTAGAATAATTTCTCGTATTAAATGCTCGGGACTGCGATTCAGCACACTGCAAAAGTCAATGTAAATACATTGAGTAATTTACATTACTATTTACATATATTGCACTTAATTGGAAATAAAAAATTCATACATGAGCATGCACATACATATGTATGTATGTGGGGATTTACTTACCTCACTATTGTGCGGAGCAGCGTTGAGCGCGCTTCATTGTGGAATGTTATAATTACACTCGTCTCTGGTAAATCCTCCCGGTACTTTTTATTGCGACACCTGTACAGAGAAATACAAAAAAAAAAAAAATGTTTTTAAAGAAAACTAAAGTCAAATCATTTATTAACAATTAAAGAAGTCGAAATTTGGGAAAAGCCGTGTAACGTTGGCGAAGCCGAATTTTAAATACCCGTCGCACGTGTTATATATAGTGTTTTCACCTTTCTGATAACTATCGTTACCTGGTAAGCATGGGTGGTTGTACCCCTATTTCAATCATTTTCGGTAATACGTTGAGTTAGACTTAATGAGATAAATTTATGTACATAAATACCCCGCCCTTTTCCCAAAATTCCATAATAGTCATATTTCTTTTTGAGAGATTGTTGTAAGTACCAAATTCTCGCATTTATTACAAATATCAAAATACTAATTTTTTTATTTTAGTTTTTTTATTACTCTAATGCCAATTTCTTATCCTGAAAATTACCTTCGAGTTATATAATAGAAATATGCTTGACCCTTTTGAGTTGTTAGAACTTTATATGCCTTTCAAAACATACATGCGTGTTTTCCATGATGTCGGACATGACTTTCGTACGAATTTGGAGTTAAAGAAATCATGCGAAAACGGAAGTCACTTATAAACCAAAATTGCCGTTGTGTATGTTTTATACCGTCCTTTAGTCGACAAAAAATGTAGGTACACTTGAAACACTGGTTTCGGAAAATTCGATGTAAAGTAGGTTATAATGGACGTGACAAGAACAGAAGTGGTTTTAGAGTACATGTAAAAACGAGAAAAACTCTGCGAATCCTGCAGGGGTTTCCTTACTTAAAAATTCTTTAAATAAAGTCAGATTATGGACGATACAACCAATTCATTTTTAATTAGAAGCAATTTGTGGTTGGTTTAGTTTTGAATTGAAATGTGATGACGGACGTGACATATTGGACGTGACAGATTTTTTCCCTATACAATATTTTTACATAATAGTAATACATATATAATTTAATTTTTATTAAATTTGTTCAGTTCTCTTCTCCACCGTTTCGCGTTTCCATGGCCTTTTTTCGCCGAAATTTAAAGTTTTACAGCCGTTTCAACCCATTTACTTGCATTTTCGGTTACATTTTTAGGATTTTTATATTTTTTTTTGACGTGGTCTAATGTACACAAAAAAAAAATTTGTACATACCTACATAAAATAAAATTTACTGATTCCTCAATTTAAAGGTACCAAACTACATAGCGTACCATCAAATAAAACAAAAAGTGGTCTTTATTTTAATATTTATCACATTTGAAAAAATGTAAGAAGTTAAGTAGAAAAAAATTTGTGGATTTGGCCAATTCTGCTTTAATGGCCTTATATACATATCGACCCTTATTTGCGATTTTATTGTAAGCCAGAAACGGTAAATTTGACAGGAGAGGTTTTTTTTAAATTTTTTAAAGGTAAAATTGCGCTTACGATATTTTTCCTGAACATGCTAAGAGGAAAGTTATCAAAGGATTGGCTTTTGCAATATTTAGTTGTTATGTTTTATAATCTGGTCATTTATAAACGAAGGAGTGCGGGTACTCTAAGGATAGTTTGAAAAACTGAATTTTAAGCCAATTAAATAGAATAAGAATAAGCTCAAATATTTTCAACTTTAACTTTTTGGTGAATCTACTAATTTGTCCACAAGTTTTCTTCGTAGATGCAGTCTTAAAGCTCATTAAATACTCTAACAAACATCTAAAACGACGACGTAGGCGCTACTATCTGGTATTTTTTCACGTTTTTTGTTTAAGAATGAGAAAAAAGTGTAATGTTATCCTTGACCAGAATAGGTTCAGTACCCAAATCTTCATAATAGGGAGATTTTTGGAAAGTTTCGAAATCAGTAGTTATATTCCTCGACACCCTGCACTTAGCGTTTGCAGATGCAATTGCATAATGGCAGATTCTACTTAATTTTGATGAGGGAAATAAGCTCATTTTGAAGCATTCAGTCGTGGCAAGTGCCGATGTAACTTTGCTTAAAACTACAGTTCAAGCTGCTATTTACAATGAAGTTCTGTACACTCAGTGTCGCTTTAAACAACCATCTGATTTCCAGGGCAACCATCTCCCCTGACAAAGCTTCACAGGGAAGAGAATGTGCCATTTTAGCCTTAAGAAACGAACACAAAATTTTCGCTCCCTTTGCCTTTAAATTAAAATCGAACACAAAAAGAGAAAGGGGCAATCAAAAGTCGACATTTTTTGGTAGAAACGAAATCACCATTAAACGTGATGAGAATGTTACTCATACGCCATGTACGTACGTTCAATTTACTTTTCCGTGATAAATGGTAGATCCAATATGGATCAGACATCTTGGATTTTTAAAATATGATTTCAGATTCTGATTCAGCGGTCCCGAAAAGATATTTATATTGTCACCTTTACTTATGATTTTTCTCGCTTATCGGGATTTTCATAAGCGATTCATCAGGAAAATGTGCGGGAAACTGGTCGAAAAATGGTAATTTAGTACCGCGAAATTGCCTTTTTATAAGCGCCACATAACTTTCGAGTTTAAATAAAAAAACCTAACTTTTAACTTTTGAAAAGTTACTATAGACCCCTATTGGCCGAGCTACCTGGTTTTTTGAGTAAAATAAAAAATCTCCATAAAAAAAAAACTGTGGAGCGCGTTGCCGACCACTTAAAAGGGTTTTATTTTTAATTTTCCATACATCAAATAAGTCAGGAAATTAACTTTAAAAAACCGCATGGTCCTGAAAACTTACTAAAAAGTGTTTCAGGGCACTGCTCATAAATGTATAGTTCTTAAGTCGAACGCACATATCTTCGACATAACCTAAATCTAGCATTTAAGAGTAAAATATAAAGACAAGTGACAATTCATGAATAAATAATCAAAATTGCAACCATGCAGCCTTTACAAATTCTATGGGAATTGCTTTGGTCCCAGTTTTGTCACTCCCATTTCTGGAAGATTGTTCGATTTAAAAAATATATATGTAATAGTTCGAACTCGGACACTTCTGACGAGCCTCAAGAATCTCCGTATTATGGAAGTTTTATAGTGGATTTCCACTAGGCATTAAATCTCAAAAATGGCGAATGAAAATATAATCGTGTCATTACGTTAAAAAAGTCATTACGTTCATTTCCACATGGAATTATTTTAAATGTCATAAAATTTTTGTCATTTCAATTCCTAGTGGAAAATCGGCATTATTTTCCGGTAAAATTAAAATTTTTTTATTTTGCGAAGTAAATTTATTTTCAAATTAGAAAGATATCAAAAGCAGGCAATAATATATTAATCCCCAGTTTCACCGATAAATTTTAAAATTTATCAGACTGCTAGAATCTAAAATAACAAATTTTCCGAATAAAATTGTATCATTTTAAATTTTAACGGGCTGATAAATTTAAAATTGTTTCGCGAAACAGGGCACAAGTGCCATTAAAACATACTAAACTTCCTATTAAGGCTACTTTGTGAAAAGTTCACTTTCGCGAAACTTTCCGTCTTTCCGTTATCCGATTTTGAAAATTGTTGCTTGGTAGGTCGAAGCTGAAAAATACGACCCACATTTGTGTAACTAAATACCTATGTACATATGCACATATGTTTAAATATCCGGGTGGGAGGCGAGAAAATATACCTACAAATACTAAGACGTCAATTTCTACGAGAAATGAGAAAACAACGTCTTCCATTAACTATAAGTGGTACTAATTGGTTCCCAATAAATAAATAATATGTGCCGACGTGGTTGCATTAAAAAAGATGTCAAATTTTTGCAGCCATAAGAATGGCATCGGAAATCCTTTGAGCCATGTGAAAATTGACAAGAGTGAAAACAAAATCAATACAGAGGCATGTACGTACACATGTACATATTTATGTAAGTGGCAAATGGAACAGGAAACAACAGAATGGATAGCACTAACAGAAAAAAAAAAAGAAATGTTGGATTGATAAGCAACAGCTGTAGATACAAAACAGCTCCAAAAGTAAGTACATACGTGCATACATACATAAATACATAGGACTATACCTTTACGTATAGTTACGAACAGTCCAAGTGACACTGAGCAAATTGTGGCTTCAATGTAATGTACATATGTTAACATATGCGGGTTTTCGAAGTTATTTCTAAAAACATACATGTACATATATATATGTATGTGCTGCTTCCATTGAGTATGAATGTGAGATTACAGTCCCTTTCTCTTGCGGATAGAGTTGTTTAGACAGCTGTTATCAATTACTTCAACATTGGGCCAATAATCCCTACTAATGTGCCTTTAATGGACACACTACTGGTATTACAAGTTTATTTGTATAATATTATATGTATGTGTGTATGATATTACGTCTTTATGGACGCTTGCTTACAAATTCTCAGTTAATAATCAAATGTATCCCTGAAAATGCCAGCTTGATTTGTAAGCGGTAAGAGCTTGGGTCTCTATTCCTGATAAATCGAGTACATATAATTATGTTTGCGTACATACGATGTTAAATATACAGTGGTGGCTGAAATAATAGACACGCCTTACTATGAAGAGTTTTGGTTCTTTTATAAAAGCCAGGCTAGCTATACAACAAACACCATATAAACTCCCTTTTCAAACTTTATACAAAAATTATAAAAATTCGACCAATTTTCAGCAAATTTTTAGACTTTTTATCCATAATTTTCAGACAAATTTTCGGTATGCAGTTTTGTAGCCCATTCAAATTAAGTTCAAGTTTCAAGTGGCTAGAAAATACCGTTGGTTTTTGAAATTTTTTTTGTTGACGTTGCTAGGCATTCTCTTCGATATAAAAAATTTTCGAGGACATTTTGTATTGGAAAAAATGCGTGACACCGTCAGCAAAAAAAAAAAATCCTAAAAATCAATGGTATTTTGTAGCCAATTGAAACTTGCACTTTATTAAATAAAATTAAATTGGCTACAAACCCATACTCAAAAATTTTTCTAAGAATTCTGACTAAAATGTTTGAAAATTTGGTGAAAATTTGTCGAGTTTTTATAATTTTT